GACAGTCCATAGAAAGCGGCACAAATACCAATTAGGATTTTCACTTATCCACATGGTTCAGCACGAAACCTAACTGGCAATTTGGGTGCTTTCCAAGGTAAGCAAATAAAAAGGACGCAATTCTAGCCTGAGCATATTTCGTTTCAGATGAAGGCGTAAGTGCCTTCCCAATCAAACTGCTGACCATCTTACGACTTATCTCTGACTAACCTACAATTTGAGGCGTATGTCCGCATTCCAGCCGTATGTATAAGTAGTATACTGCTGTAGGCTCTGTCAGTCACTGCGTCCACCCCGCATCCGACAACTGAACGGCTCGGACGGTGGCCTGATGCTGGAGGTGGGGGATGTTAGGATGGCCTAACAACAGCCTTAGCAAGCAGTAGCTTGCAAGCCATAGCCGCGTCCACAATAGGCTATTGGCCTGTGCGCGAGCTAACACGTCAAGCTAGAAAATTAATCGTAATTTGAAATTTCTAGCTACATTCACTCACGGAGCCAAAAGCCAATGGGACCGGCCACTATTTCAGGAGAGAATCTGATTGGCTCAAGGGACATCGTTTACACACGTTTGTTTCCTAAATACGTTGTACCTGAGACACTAAAAGACTTCTGCTTTCTGCGCATTTCTTGTTGTGTTCTCTCTTTGAGGGCTCACATGAGGCGTAGTTAGACGGCGAATATTTTGGTCTGGGCTCCGTTACAACAGGGGAGAGAGTGTGGTCGAGGGTTCAGCGCAGATTCCTAACTATGCACAATCTGTACTAAAAGTCATGGCTTGGAAGGTCGCCAACTGACGGAGTAACTTGGCCTGCGCGGTCAGCCCAGTGGGTTTTTGTGTGGAGCGGCTGGCTGGCTGGCAGACTGAGAGTTAGGCTACAATGGCTTTTTCTTAATGTGGTTTTCAAGGCAACCTCACTCGGCTGGGATCCTAGCCGCTCCCATTTGGCTGTACTTTCCTTGTTTGCGGTGTCTCAGAGTGAGTGGGCCTGCGCCTTCTCTTAACACAGGATGCGCGTGGAGAGTGGAACTGCGAGTGAGGTAAATGCATTTCAAATCTCCTTTCACTATAATCTAGCGTGAGTACCCATCCCTGCAGCACATTTGAAGTACCGAAATCAACTGTACATTTTATGATGTCCTACCTATTAATCGAACCTTCAATAAAATACACGTAACATCTATTTGCACTTTTATTATGATTATATTTACAACAGTTACAACAAAGTCGTAGCACTTGCCAATAACCCAAATATTCACGACAAAGTGGGCAAACAAGTAAGCCCTACCTCGGTCTGGCCTTTGATGAATGGAATCTGCAACAGTTGGGCCGCTGACGGTCGATCATATGGGTTCTTGGTGAAGATTCTTTGTGGGTCAGAAAAAAAAGAAAACTATTATTTGGATTTACCTTTTTTTCAAGCCATATTTGTAAATTTTCCAAGAAATACGTTTACATTCCAAATAATGCAGAAGCTCTCATGAGGTGTTCTTAATTTATTGCGCTATTCAAAAAGTCAGAGCTTTGAACATTGCCAAACACCCCGAATCCCACCATGGCCCCTTTTACGCAGTAATGACTAGCCTGCAATGAGTCCTTCTTAATGTGACTATCTTGGTATTTCTGACTTTCATGAGATCCGGATACTTCCGAAGTCTGGTTTATCTTAGTGAGAGCCAACAGGAAGTGGTACGTATACAAGTATTTGTCTATTGTACGATTGTCTTGACCATGGCTGTTTCATACAACGGCCCGCGTGGTATATGCACTGGATCAACAGGGGGCCAGATCAAGGTACGGCAGACTCTATAGGGGGTTGTTTTCCCATAACAAATGCCAAACATGGGGGCGTGGTGGCACGAATGGGGTGCAGCTTCGGCCGCGTCATCTACCTGTGCTCAATCTCGTATCCGGTCTTCTGGACCCCGTCTTGACACCGAGCACATATGGGTGAGGGAAGGGAGAGTGCGGTAGACGTTGGGCAAGTCTACGATCAGTTTAACGTAATTCACGCGGAAGTCGCCGCGGTTGCATTCAGCTTGCTAAAGCACGCGGTGAGCATAATCGAGACCGACGGTCGAACTGTCACTTTCATACAGAGTACAC